GGATGTTAGATGTATAGTGGTACACAAATCTTGCAATGGTCTTCACTTTTTGGGGAGCAGTCTCTAAGAAATAAATGCTTTATAAGAAAGGTATTGGAGTTTCAAACCACTGAAGTAGTGTGTTTCAGTGTTTTTGGACTCGGTTCGGCCTGGTTGATTGAACCGGTTGAATTAGATCCGAACTTGAAAATGGCCTGGGCCAGTACCTTAATCCGTTTTGCAAGTTCACCCGTTTTGGTCCGCTGTCGCCCACCCAACCCGCTGAAACCGTTGAAACCACCTAACCCGCTAAAACCGCTGAAACTGCTTAACCTGCCTGGCTAAATGAATTTGAGTTTTTATTTTTTAATGAGTTAATAATAATTAAATTAATTTATTTGATTTTTAATATAATTAGTTAATTACCCATGCCATTAACTTTAATTAGAAATTAAAATCACAAATCAATTAAAAAAACAAAACTCTCATAGGATTAGGTCTTCCTATTTGCTATTTCACTGCAAATTGCAAAAGCAAACCCAAGAGAAATTAGAAACAAAAGAGAGCAGGGGAAGAGAAGAACAAGACCACCAGTACCACGCACTAGTCACCACCGCCAACCTTTCCCTGCCTGATCTCAGCCAGAAATCGTGAACCTGCTGCTTGCTCGTGACCTCCGTCTGTGGCTTCCAATCCTTTGTCTCTGCAGAAGCAAAACCAGAAAGCAAGCCCTTCATCTTTGTGCAGAAGCAGCCAAAAAGCAGAAAGAAAACAGAGCAGCGAAGTCACCGGCCAATTGCCTCCCCGATCTCAGTCGTCGTCGACTCCACAACTGCCTCCCTAGATCTCAGCCTTCACCGCTGCCCTTCCTTTCCTTCTTCCACTGACAAAACAGATTTGCAATTCATTTGCCTCGGGTGTAAAAATGTAAAAAAAAAAAAAAAAAGAAGTTTTTAGTCAACCGGTTGAACTGGTTGGGTGAACTGATTCAACCAGTTGAACCAGACCCGGTGGCCAAAACAGGTCAGCCACCGGGCCGGGTACAAAAAACATTGGTGTGTTTTATGGCAGGCAATAAAATGTTGAACTTGATGCACATAGGCTGCTTTACTGATTCCAGATCACAACTTTTTTGTTGTTTTTTATTTGCTGTATGAATGCAGTAAGTCTTATACTTGCTGAACTCATCAGCTAATCCCAAGTACTAGTTTGGGTTGGTGTTTATTAATTTGTGTTTTCTACAATTCTGGAATGAGATGCTTAGTTTCTCTACATTCTTTTCTTCCTTTCCTTTGTGCTTTTCTCTGTAAATATCAAGTTGCTTTTATATAAATAGTCTGGAAGCATACCTTTTACGTGCCACTGAGTTGCCTGGAACTGAAATTTTGAAACAAGAAAATCTTCAACCCCCAGTGCACTCATGTCATGCATAACACTTTGACTATGTGTTTGTCAAATATCATCCACCTTTCCCACATTTTATTTTGATTATTTTTTTCACAAATTCCTTATTGCATTTGAATTTTGACAGAGAAGGAAAAGATCCCATTTATTACTGAAGGAATTAGATTGTCGTTGTTTGTTCTCTTTCTTTATTGTCTCATTTATGCATTTGCACGTGCTTTAACGATTTTGCAGTTCCTTTAGGAACTTTATATGAGAAGTTGGAGGGTTTAGCTTGTTGATAACTGAGATTTCTTTTGATCTCATGGTCTCTAATTTACGCCTAATTAATTTATTTTCTTGCAGCAAAGCAATACATGGCACACCTCCTTTCCCAACGTCAACTTGACTGAAGTGGCTAAAAGGAGCAAAAGACCAAACAAGAGGGATCCATTGCTGAAGGATCAATTATTTTAAAATAACTAAAAATATTT